ACAGAAATCTAGCACAGCAGGGAGAAAGGTTCTGTTCCAGCCCTTCGCCAGATGCGCTTGCTTTCTAGGTACAGGGAGATCTCATGCTGTGTCTCCAAAATGCAGCACAAGGCCAAAGGCAGTCTCTTGCCCTATCCTGCACCCTGTGAGGTGGAGAAGCATTCTAGAGATGCATCAGAATATTACCGGTAGTCTTAAGCAGCATGCAAAACAAGCCCCAGTCCTCCTCTCCATCTTCAGAAGCAGAGATAATATACAAATAAATGTGCAGTGCTGTGTTGGACACCATAGGGTGGTAGTTAAGAGTGCTGGACCTGAGAGATCAGGGTTCAAATCCCCACTTAGCCATGAATCTCTTTGGGTCAGTCACTCTTTCTCAGCCTAACCTACCTCATGGGGTTGTTGTGAAGAACAAATGGAGAGAGGGAACGCATCATGTGCCACCTTGAGCTCTCTGGAGGAATGGTGGGATATAAATGGAATAATAATAGTCACAATCCCCCATAATTGTGCTGGGCATCTGAGGCCCTCTGTGCACCTGAAAAGCCCTGCACAACTGAAGGATCCATCTTGAGATTTTGCAAAAAAGAAAAGAAAAGAAAGCTCAACAACTTTTTAAATCTGGCAACCTTCCCAATCAGATGTGCAGAAGATTTTCTCCACAGCCAAAGTGAGAACCACCCTTTCCCACAGAAGCTGGACTCCAAGCATTCCGCCACCAAGAGCTTGTCCCAAGAGGTCAAAATTTTTGCAGATAACCAGTGTAGGATGCTTCCCAACACAATGCAGACTGAATAAATTCACCCAGGCTGCTTCTAAGACCCACATTTCCGCATATGTTCTAGGAAGTGTCAGAGAGAAAGGGAAAATGGATGGGAAGATAGCAAGAATTTTGGGTGGAGATTGCAAAATTGACCCATCTGGCTCAATACTGTCTACACTGACTGGCAGAGTTTCAGGCATGGGTCTCTTCCAGCCCTACCAGGAAAAGCTGGAAGTTGAATCTGAGACCTTCTGCATGCAAGGCAGATGAAGGACAGCAAAGAAGGCAAAATATAAACATAGGAAGAGATCAACAAAGCACGTTCTGGGCGTCACGCAAGCTTAGAGGAAGAAAAGACGGAGCAGCTTGGCATTGGGAGAAAAGAAGATTAGAGGGTGGTTCTCATTCTAGCCTCAAGAAAGGTTGTGTGATTAGGCACTTTTAATCACCGGTCCTATTTATAGCCTTGTCCTTTTTGTAAAGTGCACCTTCCCCAGAATTTCATAACGTGGGACCAAAGGGCAGCAAAAAAGCACATTCGCTGGTTGAAAGGTTAAAGCCAAACGACAAGAAGAGTAAGAAACCAATGGCTATTTTGAAACTCAATTTGCAACAGGCCACCACTGGCCTTCTAAAGGACTTTGCTCCTCTTTGATCTTGTAACAGGAAAACAGTGCATCAGAATCAGGCCTGTGAACAAGTTAATTGCAGGAAGACCCGCATCTACTGGGATATCTCTGTATGATTTCAGCAAGGATTTCCAACTCACAAATGCTTAACTGCAGCAGCTGGGTACACTTGCTATGGCCTGCAGAAGGCTAAGCCAGCTGGGGAACCCTGCCAGGGGCCTGATGGACTTATGCTGCCATGCCAAGAATGCCCCATGTCTCCCAGCCAACCAGGGACTCCTGCCCCAAGCTTCAGACAAGCTCTGTACAGGCCTGGAGTGGGCACATGCGAGTAGTGGGAGGAATGGGTGTGGCAGCAAGTGCATCATAGAATTGTAGAGATGGAAGGGATCCTGAGGATCATCTAGTCCAGGCTTCCTCAACCTCGGCCCTCCAGATGTTTTGGCCTACAACTCCCATGATCCCTAGCTAGCAGGACAAATGGTCAGGAATGATGGGAATTGTAGTCTCGAAACATCTGGAGGGGCCAAGGTTGAGGAAGCCTGATCTAGTCCAAGCCCCTGAAATGAAGGAATATGAAACTGTTCCATATGGGGATCAAACCTGCAACCTTGGCGTTATCAGCACCACGCTCTAACCCACTGAGTTATCCAGGCTTAGTATAATTGGCTACTTTCTACACACATTCCTCTCTATCCTCCATCTAGGAAAGATTCTTTAGATCTCCCCCCACCCTGGTTTGAAGCAGTAGGTTTCTAGTCCTCATGGCTTCCTAAGGGAAGCTTGAAAAGGTGAAGGCAAAACATGGCAAAAAGGATAAATTCCATGGTTTTAAGCTTACAATGCATAAGAAGGTGTCATCATACTGGCCAACAAATCCAAGAGATGCTTTTGCAATTAGATGCTCCCTCCACAGCAAGCAATAATCTCTTCCTGTCACCTCACAGCTAAGCCACTCAAGAACACTGCTGGACGTTTCCATAACTGGCTGCCTAAATTTAGTTATCCAAACACAGGTGAGAAGACAAACCAAATCCAACGAATGGAAGACAGGAGACTCTCAGTTCTTCTTTGGGAGATCTTTCATTGGTAAAAGGTATGGAAGAAGCAAGACACAACAGGAGTCTATCCTGCTGCTCAGAAAGGACCCTAGTCATTTATTACCTGCTCAAAAACTGCAGTGGAAATCACAACCCACAGTAACACTCTGTGTGGTGCTGGACTCAGTTGCCCCTGGTATGTGGATATGGGGATGCCTAGTCATTATTACTGACGCATCTGGCTAGAAATCTATCTTATTGCCTTTCTGCCAGCTTTTCTCTTTCATCTTCAATCTCAGCCACTGGCTGAGTTACAGTGACATAATGGAATATTCACAAACATTCCAACTGTGAAGAGAGGAGGCAATAATCAGTTATGGAATGCTTCACATCTGATGTAAGCGAAGAAAAAGAAGCCTGGCTGGAGGGCTGCATGTTGGTAAGGCTTCAAGATCTTAGAAGGCTAAAAGGTCAGAAACCCCAAAAGCAATGTGAAGATTCATAAGTCATACATGATTAATTATATCCCTGGCAGACAGAAAGGCTGAGAATGAGGGAAGCAAAGGAACTGAGAGATGAAAGCCAACTCTATACCAATTTGAAGCAAACAGCCAAATAATCAGTTCTCTAGTTATACACAAAACTGTTAAGCATTTTAAAGTTGTGTATCAGGACAGTGAAGACTACACATTTAAGTAAATTAAGAAGCAGTGAAAACTTGTCTGTTTTTCTACTTGAACTAGCTCCCAGTGGCACACAGCCAAGGCTCTAGTAATAAATTTGTTCCAGCTTACAAAGGCTGCACATGTTTATAAGCTATGAACTAGCTACTAAGGGAGCAGGTCGTGTGTATTCCCAGCAGAGGGCAGTGGTAATTGGACATTTCCTGCTTCAGTTGTTTTCGTGCAGTGCTTAATGGAAATAAAAATCATCCAGCTCAAATCACCAGACATGTGAGTATTAACCACCAACGGCATGCATAAGATGCTTCACTCAGTTAAGTTTGAAATGGGCACTAAGTATTCTAAACTTCTATGAGATTTCTTGAAACCTGCAGAAGTACTAATTAATATGCAGATTCACCTCTGAGGGGGCGGGGGGGGAAAGGATTTTGGTGTTGTTAGCTTTGTTATTTCCTTCCAGGATCCAGTTTATTATGAGCTATGTTGAGCACATGCCAATTTTGTAGATTGGATTCTGTTACCTCCACAACCCTTAGAAGTTTCATTTTCATTATTTGTGCTATACATAGCAGAACTTCTATTTAAGGAGAAACCAAGTACACAATAATTCCTCTGGATATAGCACAAACTTGAAGATTAGTGACACTCAAGGAAGGCAGATTGCTTCTTCTTCTTTAATTAATTTCAAAACTCTGACCAGTAACCAAGACCATTTTGAAAGCTGTCAGGGGCAGAGAGTCCATGCTTCCAGCTTCTACACCAAGAAGTGTGATACTTCCAAATCCTGCTGCCATAAATATAAACCAATTCATCACAACTCTTCTTCGCTCCCTGAATAGTATTAGGGGGTAAGGAGATGCAACGTCATGCCGAGGAGCAGATTTGACAAGGAAGTCTACCCCCTGGTCTGTTATTTCAAATATTTAAATACCACTTGAATTCTGTTTTTAAGTGATGGTTTGCACAGGAAAATCTTGCGGCTGATTTGAACAACTCCAAAACTAGGAGTGACATTGGCTGACAGGGCAAAACGCTAGCAGGGATAGGCACCTGAATCCTCTTGCTAATTGTGCGGTTTAAAACGTGCATTTTGCAATGTTTTATTTTGAAATATTTAAGATATCTTAAGTTCCCTGTTAATTATGTTGCTTCGAATGGATACTGCACTTGACTTTCTCCAGTAACGTTTTTATTCTGGGTTGTTTTATTTGATGATTTAATGTAAGCTGCAAACCGCTTTGAGGTTTTTTCCCCTTAAGAACAGAAAGCGGTGCAGAAATGAAACGAATGATAACAACACACGGTGGTGATCGTGCAAAGGCAGGGAGAAGATCAGGGTTTCTTTGCAGCAGCGAAGTCCTTGCAGGGACAGGAAAGCGGCGGGAGCAGCCGCGCGGAGCTTTCCAAAGAGGACCGCAAGGAGGAAGGCGGGCGGGGAACTCTTTAGGGGTGACACCGGGGGTGTAAAGGGATGGGGGTGCCCGACAGCGAGGCCCAGCCGCTCAAGCGACCCCGACACCAAGGAGGCTTTAAAGAGGCGAGAGGAGGCGGCTTGAGGGGCGACGCCCGCGAAGCGCCGGGGAGCGGGAGCGGAGGGAGGAACCAAGGCGCAGGGTCGCGGGAGCAGGAGGGGAAGCTTTCGGTGAAACACCGCTGAGGACAACGGTTGGGGCGCGTGCGGGGGAGGGAGGGGGAGGCCGAAAACCGCGCGCCGCACTCACCTGACAGCGCGCGGCAGAGAAAGCGCCGCCAGCGCATGGGGAGAGCGAGCGGAGCCGTTTCCCCCGAATGGTGACTCAAGGAGGGCGGGCCGGGGCAGGGCCGGGCCCTGCCGCCGCCGCCGAGAACAAACCCCGCCCCTTTACTCGGAGCTCGCTTACGTCATCGCCGCGCCGACGCCCTCTCCTTGTTTCTCGATGTCGCTGGGTGATGACGCAAGAAAAGGAAGGGTTCCCAGAGCGCCAGGTCACGTGAGCGGGACTCTTCGGAGCCGGTAAGGAGGAGCAATCCATTGGGGACAGAGTAGGGGGGGCGTGTTAAAGTATCAATAGGCCAAACCATTCGGAAAGAGGGAGCCGTGGTTTTGGTGAGGAGAGAGGCGCGCGAAGGCAAGTCTGGGAAACAGCGAGGGTCGAACCATTTGCAGGCGGAGGCGCGGGGAGAGCAGGGCTAAACCATTGTTGGACCTAATGGGGGGGAGGGAAGCAGTTGAGATTGGGGGCGAACCATTATCGCGAAGTAGGGGGTTCTGAGGGCCAAACCATTTATGGAGTGGAGGGGGGGAGGCATGGTCTTGTTTGAAGACTGACCTGATGCTCACGTCTCGTCTCCTTTTCCTGCATTTCCCCTCTCCAGTAGTGTGCATTTATGTGTCTATTCTATCTATTGTACCTGCATCGCGGGAGGTTGGGCTGAATGACCCTGGGTGGGGGGGATTCCTTCCAATTCTACAATTCTGTGATTCGGGCTCCAGTCGCTGCAAGCAGTGGCAGCTGCGTGCTCTGTCTCTGCAAAGACCGCATTTTTCGCTCCATAAGACGCACCTAGTTTTTAGGAGGAAAACAAGGGAAAAAAATATTCTGGACGAAACAGTGGATGTATGATTTTTGTGGTTCATGCTGTGGCCACAGACATGTGATTTGACGGTGAGTTTGGGGTAGCCCAATGCAAAAATCCTGAGGATCCATGTGGATCCGTGCTTTGTAACCACGTTTTTGCGCCATTGCAGCCCCACAAAACAGTGGGTGCATGATTTTTTTGGTGCAGGCTGTAGCCATGGACATGCTATGTGATCTGATGGTGAATTTGGGGTGACCCAATGCAAAAATCCTGAGGATCCATGGGCTTTTACCTCCCCCCTCCCAGGCAGCCTCCTTTATCTCTAGAGTCCCTTATCTCCCTCCCGATTGCTTGCCGATCAGCTGCTCAGAGGCTTTGTTTCAACGCCCCCTTCCCTCTTGTTTGCCTTAGTGCCTTTTCCTTAGCTGGAGCAGTTTTTTGCTCCTCCTTTTCTTCTAATTTCTCTCCTCATTGCTTGTTTTAGTATTCCTGTCTCCTCTCCTTGCAAGTTCACTGTCTTTACCTCCCCCCTCCCAGGCAGCCTCCTTTATCGCTAGAGTCCCTTATCTCCCTCCTGATCGCTTGCCGATCAGCTGCTCAGCAGCTTTGCTTCAACACCCCCTTCTCTCTTTCTAAAAAAACCCCAAACACGATTTGCTTTTTGCCCCTGGGCAATTCGGTTCCAGGGACCACGCATTCGCTCCATAAGACGCACAGACATTTCCCCTTACTTTTTAGGAGGAAAAAAGTGTGTCTTATGGAGCGAAAAATACGGTACTTCCATCCCTCAATCCAGGAGGGAAACCCCACCCAGGCTTTGAAGGGGGAAGTGCTCGGCATTTGGAAGGCACCCAGGCTGTGTTTCCAAAGCACTGTGAAAAGACCAAAAGTATCTTAATTGCTAACAGCATAAAAACTGCCTTGCTGGATCAGATGCTTTTGGAACGCTTCCCCACAAAACACGATGGTTTTGATGGGAGGCCACATGCTAAATATTTCCTCCCACCTTAAGCACACACCTGTTGTTCAGATGTTTACTGCTATCTGTACTAGATTGTCTCTTTTTAGCCATCTCTGCTAAATCTATATACAGTGGTACCTCGGGTTACATACACTTCAGGTTACATACGCTTCAGGTTACAGACTCCGCTAACCCAGAAATAGTGCCTCGGGTTAAGAACTTTGCTTCAGGATGAGAACAGAAATCGTGCTCTATTAGCTAAATCCATTAGCCAATTGAGGCCCCATTAGCTAAAGTGGTGCTTCAGGTTAAGAACAGTTTCAGGTTAAGAACAGACCTCCGGAATGAAGTACTTAACCCGAGGTACCACGGTATTTAATAAGTATTTTATATTGCCTTCCTACTTTGATTCATATTTTTATCAATTAAGCGATATATAAACTTGTCAAATAAGAATAAACTTTTCTCCCTTCATTTGTTTCCATAAAGAGCAGCTGTGGCCCCTTGGATGATGTTCCGTAAAGATCGTTGCTGTCTGTGCTCATCATAAAAACCGAATCCTGTGCCTCGGAATCGCTGGAGATTGACATTTGTTTGCCAGGCTTCAGGGACTGTACATGAGCTCAGAATGACGACCGTAATCCGGACTTTAAGGTATAACTCTGTTTATTTAGTGGGATCATTGTGCCTTGTGCTGTCCAGGATCTAGAACTGATATGGCCCTTTTCCACAGTGTTTCTTCCGTTCTTGTACATATTCCATGAAAGTACATTGCATTGTTTTTCAGCAGTTCAACAGTAAGCCTGCAGTCTCATGCATGCTTCTGAATACTTTTTGCTGGAAAGTAAAAGGTAAAGGTGTCAGGAGCTCAGCCTACACTCGAGTAAGACCCTGGCAGAGACACATGCCTGACTGGCATGTTCTCTCCCTCCTGGTCAATCGTTCAGGAGCTTCAAAAGCTTTCTTCTGCCCGAGCATCACAGCGACCGACACCGGCACACTTAGGGATCCGCAGAGTTTGCGCATCATTGTAACAGACCTCAGCAACTCAGCATTTTGGCTAATCTACTTTATTTACATATAAACACACATGGAGCACTGCAACATGGCTCCCACTTCTCGGAACACAGTAACACAAACATCCTGTCTCCGTCACTTCCCACTCTGTGGAGTCAGAACATATACCGTCATGTGATAGACAGAAATCCCATGATTGCAATCACGGAGCAGGAATTCTAACAAAAGGACCCCTGGACGGTTAGGTCCAGTCAGATTTGACTATGGGGTGCGGTGCTCATCTCCGCTTTCAGGTTGAGGGAGCCGGTGTTTGTCCACAGACAGTTTTTCCGGGTCTTGTGGCCAGCAGGACTAAACCCCTTCTGGTGCAACAGGACACCATGACGAGTGCCAGAGCGCACAGAAACACACGGAAACAGCAGGAGGGAAGTGTGTTCTTTGCACTCTGGTCCCGCTTGTGGGCTTCTGGTTGGCAGATTCTGGATTAGCTGGGCCACTGGCCTTACACAGCAGGGCACTTCTTGTGTTCTTATGCTTTTCTTATGCTGTGAACCAACCTGCATCATCTGAGGCCCTTCTTCCTGCGTCTCCATGAGAATTCCAGAGGGTGGCAATACAGGCCTTTTCTGTGGTGGCTCCCATTTTCGGAATGCTCTCCTCAAAGAGGCTTGCCTGGCACCTTCACTACATATCTTTATATGCCAGGCAAAAGCATTCCTCTTTTCCCAGGCCTTTGGCTAATTAAACAACCCATGGCCTTTAAAACTCTGCGGAGGCCTTACTGTTTTTGTTTATCGCTACGGTATGTATTTTGGTGTTTTTATATTGTAAACCACCCAGTGTTCCTCGGATGAAGGGCTGTATGGACATATTAAAAATAAAATAATAAATAGAGAGTAATTAAGTGCTGCACAGGTGTTAATCTGACTAAAACAGCAGTTCATCTGCACATGTTTGATCCTAGGATCTAAGAGCCCTCTTGGGGGGGGGGAGGCTGAGGTTTGTTTTCCTGTTACTTCAAACAAAACGTGAGACAGAGTGAATTCGGATAGGTATTGAACCAGCTTCAAAGCCAGGATTAAATCTTCAAAGCTGTGTCCTCTGAGGGCTTTTAATATATATGAATAGAAATTGGCTCCCTTTCTTGTTACTGAATCATCACCTTAAAATGCCAGCCAGGTGCCTGGAAAGCACATTCAATAATAATAATAATAATAATAATAATAATAATAATAATAATAATAGTTTTATTATTTATACCCCACCCATCTGGCTGGGTTTCCCCAGCCACTCTGAGCCCAGCTGTGTTAGGGCAGGTGGTTGCCAGCTGATAGGGACTACCCCAGAGCGAGGTATTAATTCATATCGTAGCTTATATATTTTTCCAAGGTACATTTTTTAAAAAAAAAACAAACTATTATTTCGGTAACCTTCATGACAATCCCGCATGAGAGGCTGAATATTATTATTATTATTATTATTATTATTATTATTATTATTATTATTATTATTTATTATTATTATTATTAAAGCCAGCTTTCAGTGGAGAGAGGAACTAAATCTTGACACAGCTTTGCCTTACCCTTAAGTACCAAATTCTACCCGAAGACACCCTGCAGCCCCAAATCCAAAGTTCTGCTTGCATCTGTTTTGTAAGATGCGTATATTGTAAGATACATTCATATTGTAATCGCAGAATGGCAGTAAATTTAATTAAATAAATAAAGAGGGAAGGGGGAAGAGTACAGCTTATATAAATGAGGCATCTACCCACCCACCCCTTCTGTTGTTATCATTTCATCAGTATTTGCTGGCATTATGATCTTTTCTGGCTTTCTACACACCCTCCCAATACCTGAACTAGCAGTCTTAAGAGCTAGCAACTCACTGCATTTTAAAATGAAAGCTGGGACGTCAGAGACGCTGAAATCTGTGGCCAATATAAATTTCATGTTCCTTATGGTGCTACTCCTTGTTTGAGGCCAAGCCAAACTGCCTGTTTGCTAAATCACAGTCTTTTTCTTACCAGAGTTGGGTTGTACTCAGATACGTATATTTTTTGTTATTTCTGGTATGTATATGTGTTCTTAAAGGGTCTATCTGTGTGTCAATTTTTGCATGGATTTTACAAGTTCTTCTCTGAATCGGTTTCAGGGCTTTGCGGTTAGAGGCCTTCTCTGGACTCCTTCCCAGGACTTGTGGCCTCCACACATCCACCCGGCAGTCCAACTCCAACCGGACATCCATCGCCTGCGTGGCCCGCCAGAAGTATGCCCGGCTCTATCCAGTGTTGCTGGTCAGGCCTGACGGTTCTACGTTCTATATCCGTTACAAGGAGCCAAGGCAGATCCTTTCGGTTAGAGTTGCTGTTTGATATTCATTCAATTTATAGTCCCACTGTTTATGAGACGGTCCCAGGGCAGGTTACACCGTGGCAGGACAGAACATTAAATACAAGAACATTAGAAGCGGGATCAGGCCAATCGCCCATCAAGCACATTTAAAAAGTATACAACTTAATATAAAAAAATCTCTAAGCATTTTGCATAAAAACAATAACAAAAATCCCGTTAAAATTCCTCAAAACTAGATAAGAGCAAAACACAACTATATATCGCAAATGAAACTGAATAATGTGATAAATAAAAATTAAGAGTCAATAAAGTCCAGACACTAGACACATCTTCACACACTGCAAGAGGAGATCACTAGAGGGGTGTAAACTCTGTTCAAGGAAAACCTTTTGACTGCTGCATATGCGTCCAAGAAGCTTTATACAGCTTGAAAACCACAGGCATTGATCCTGACCATCCATGAGGGGGCTGAATTGATTGCGCACCAGGACTAGTAACTTAATAATAGAATAGTCTTTTGGTTTCTAAAGGGATTTCTCAATGTCTTTTCCACAAGCTGCAGACTTAACATTTGAAGCAGCAGGCATTAAATACTTCTCTTTCAGTAGCACCCTAAGGCGCTTGCCTCAGTAAGGGTATCCCTGCTGAATTTCTAGAGCTGGTAAAAGGAACAAGACCCTGCCTGCAGGGGAAACATGGTGATTCTAGGGGTGTTTACAAGTTTCTATGTATGCATAATTCCGTTTCCAGATACCTGTGGACATCAACACGCTCCCTGACGCCGAAAGGAGAGCCCGCTTGCGGAAACGAGATACCTCCAAACTTAAACCAAAAGAGGAGACACGTTTCGAAGATGACTTTAAATTGGACGATTACAGAAAGTTTTGGAAAAAGAAATGAGATCCGCCACCCAGGGTGGAAAATCAGTCACAATCAGATACTTAATTTTACATTTTAAGTTGTAAAAATGTCCACAAATAAAGAGATGCCTTCTGTTTTCTTTGTGTTCCTGTTTTATTTTTTGGGCTAGGGATCCGTAACTGGCTAAGTGATTATTACTGTGTCTTATCACCCAGTGGAAGAAATCTTAAGTTGATTGATTAAGGCTGGCTTCAATCCTATGCACAGTTACCTGGGAGAAAATCCCATTGATCTCAGGGCTGGTTTCTGAATGGACAAGTATAGGATTTTATATGTTAACATACATTTGAATGAGGGTTTTAGCTATGATTCAGAAGAAAAGGTAAGCACCATCATGCAAGAGGCATTTCCTGTGATGAAGAGAAAGGGGAAAGCTTATTCTCAAAGAACGTTGCTACTGCTCTTGGTTTTTGCAAATACGTCCTTGAAAATCATTAGCAGTGCAATCCTGTGTATGTTTACCCAGATTATTAATTTCCACCAGGGTTAATCTTTAGTAAGTGCATTTGTAACTGCAGCCGAAGATTACCCTAAAGTCTGCTGTCCAGTTAATTAGGGACATCTTAATCAAAAGGCTTTGAATCAATAAACATTAAGTTATTCCTTTTTATTATTATTACCATTCATTTAAACGCTTCAATTTTTTTCTCCCCCTCGATATGTACAGTCACAAGTTAAAAAAAAATGGGCAGAGGGTCCTTGAATAACTTTCTCAACACCTTTATGGCTGGACTTCACCTGTTGAGTTTGCCTGTAATGCATCTGTTAAAAGCAAAAAACTTCTTTCCATCGAAGGAGGCGAATCTGGCAAAGAACTAGGAAATGGTCTTGTTCTGCATGAGATCAGTGGCCCACTTTGCAGGGCCATAACAGGACCAGATGCAGATGCTTTATTAACGGGGTGTCAGAAGAACTGACCCCTTTTTATTTTTAGGCTACGAGGGAAGGAACAAGATTTTGCTGAAATTTAGGGTTTGGAGGGAAATCGGGGATGCATCATGGGAATTCTAGAGTTGGAAGGGATCCTGGCGGTCATCTAGTCCGACCCCCTGCAATGCATGACAGATTCCCATCCAACCTCTCAGGATTAACTGATTTCATTAAGGCTTCCCCTTTCACTAACCCAAACACTGGTTCCTGTGCATTTAATAATTATACAGATTTTTTTAAAAAAAATAGGTGTGGGTAGCTTGAGCGGGAGCAACAGAACTCTTACTTAAATGCCCCTTTTCTGCTTTAGATGGAAGATTTGTCAGCTGCTGTGCTGCCACATGCTCTTTTGTAAAAATAAAAAAATGAGATTACTGTATTAGTTACTGGGTTCTTTCACAGAGCAATGCAAACATCATAAAGCCTTGGGGAACTTGCAGTTTAAATTTTAACTAGAGGGAAGGAGGAAGTGCAGATGATGGAAGGGGGGAGGCAGGAGATCCAGTGTTACTTCAGTGGTTTCAGAGTTGTGGCGTTGGAAGGGTTACCGAGGGTCATCTAGTCCAACCCCTGCAAAGCGGGAATCTCAAGACATGGTCCCCCCACCAAATTTGAAGCCACACCTTTCTCCATGTAGGCATGAGGGCTTAGGCAAGCATATGGCTTGTCTGTAAACAAGAATGTTTCTAGCAGGCCTGATTGAAATCAATAGGCAGGGAGTTCCAAAGAGCAGGGTTTCCCAAGAATGAGGGTTACCGCCCCCCGCCCCATTTCCCCAATGCAGGGCTCCTGTGCCTCGATAAATCTGCAACAAAGGCAGACTTCAAGCCACTGAAGTTTCCCACACCATCACCGCATCCCCATGCCCAGAGAGGCTCATCTTAGGTAGTTACGATGACTGCACAACCCATCTACAACAGGCCGCAAGGTGGTTAAATTGGTCTCAACTAGGGCCAGGGCCTTTTCAGTACTGGCCCCAACTTGGTGGAACACTCTTATCACAAAAGAATAGGGCCCTGTGGGACTTGACATCTTTCCGCAGGGCCTGCAAGACAGAGCTGTTCCGCCTGGCCTTTGGTTTGAACTCAGTGTGACCCTTATGTTTCCCTCCCCTTATGGTTTTGATCTATGGGCTACTTTTAAAATGAGGCTGCATTTTAAATTGCATTTTAACCAGTATTTTAAATTGGGGTTTGGTTTTTTCCTATTATGTAAAAAGGTAAAGGTACCCCTGCCCGTACGGGCCAGTCTTGACAGACTCTAGGGTTGTGCACCCATCTCACTCAAGAGGCCGGGGGCCAGCGCTGTCCGGAGACACTTCCGGGTCACGTGGCCAGCGTGACAAGCTGCATCTGGCGAGCCAGCGCAGCACACGGAACGTCGTTTACCTTCCCGCCAGTAAGCGGTCCCTATTTATCTACTTGCACCAGGGAGTGCTTTCGAACTGCTAGGTTGGCAGGCGCTGGGACCGAACGACGGGAGCGCATCCTGCTGTGGGAATTTGAACCGCTGACCTTTCAATCGGCAAGCCCTAGGCGCTGAGGCTTTTACCCACAGCGCATGTTGTTGTAAACAAAAAATGCCCTTTTCCCTTATGAGGTATCCAAGAGCCCATAAGTCCCCTATTGGTAGGAGAGAATAACAGAGGCCAACTAGAGAATATTGAGAAGCAAAGCAGCTAGTAAGCCTGATCTTTATTGATCTGTTGCAACAGGGTGTTCCCCTCATCCGCAGGAGAGAGGAAGAACCCAGAACAATGGCGTGCAAGGCCTTATAAAGACTTTTGAAATTGCCACCCTGGAGATCAAGACCACCCCCAGAAACATCATACATCATTCACAGAAGGGGTGTAACCTAAGACCACCCCTCAGATACATCACACCTACATCACAGAAAAGGCGGTCTAAAACAGAAATTTTGAATGTTGCTTTTCTCCTGTCCTTGTTTATCTCCTGTCTGGCAGGTTACTTGATTGGATACCCTGCTTACTTGATTGGATTTCCTGGGTAACCTGGCCAGTCTTTTGTAATGACAAATACTTAGTTCCTGGGCCAGGTCACAAGCTCACACCCTGTTCATACACAGACATACCCTTAAGACAGGATTTGTGAAGGAAAAGGCAATGGGGAGGCTTTTCCATTTTCCTTTGACCTTGCAGAGAAAACATTTGGTCAGTTTGGGACAGTTTGGGAATCAAAATGTTTCCAGGTCGGTCTTCCTGTGCTGATCTATGTATGTGCTTGGCTGGTACACTTATGAACATTACCATATGTCTAAGACCATAAAATTTCTATCACAATATTTTTACTGTAATTTTACTGTTGTTATCCGCCCTGAGCCCGGCTCTGGCCGGGGAGGGCGGGGTATAAATAAAATTTATTATTGTTGTTGTTGTTGTTTGTTATTTTTATTATATTATCCTGCGGTTGCTAAAGAGAGTTGGCCACCCCCCTCCCAGCAACTTGGTGCGGCCCGTATCCCCCCACGGGCACGCGGCTTGATGGTGTCTCCCAAAGCTTGCGGAAGTTGCTGCAGGAAGCGGGTTCTGCAGGCAGCACGTGAGTCGCAAAGTGGAGGAGGCTTTGGCGGGGGGAGTTGCTCTGCTTGCAGAAGTGGGGGGGGAGGCTGACAGTTAAGAACAGCCCCCCCAAGGACAGCATGGCCGGAGTGTGGAAAGGTATTGGGGGGGGGGGCTATGGAGCGCGTGCATTTATGTACATTTGTCTTATCTGTTACGCCCATAGCTGTCAACTTTTCCCTTTTCTTGCGAGGAATCCTATTCGGAATAAGGGAATTTCCCCTTAAAAAAAGGCAAACGTTGACAGCTATGGTTACGCCTGCGTTGCTGGGGGGGGGTTGGGCTAGATGACCCCAGGGTCCCTTCCAACTGTACTGTCTGTCTGTCTGTCCACGCAGTGCTTTTTTTTTTCTAAAAAAAATGTTTAGGGGTACTTTCATTTCGGCTCAAGAAAATCACAATTTTGTAGTTCAGATCGGGAAAAATAAATACAGTAAATGGACAAAAGTACAGTACAAAGATTCATAATGCGGACCCCCAGGAAAAAGCTCTTTATCTATCTATCTATCTATCTATCTATCTATCTGTCTATCCATGCAATCTGCCCTGCTGAGTTCAGTGGGACTTACTCGCAGGAAAGGCGTGTTGTTAGGCTGCAATGCTACGGATACTGACTTGAGCAGGGGCCAGCAAACTTTTTCAGCAGGGGGCCAGTCCACTGTCCCTCAGACCTTTTGGGGGGCTGGACTATATTTTTTTCTGGGGGGAGGGATGAATTCCTATGCCCCACAAATAACCCACAGATGCATTTTAAATAAAAGGACACATTCCACTCATGTAAAAACACGCTGATTCCCTGACCGTCTGCGGGCCGGATTGAGAAGGCGATTGGGCCGTATCCGGCCCCCTGGCCTCAGTTTGCCTACCCGTGGACTTGAGAGTACTTACCTGTCAAAACTTGGTGGGACTTATTTCCGAGGAAATAAGCACAGGCTTTCCCTCGTTAAGACACTCGGGTATCTTAGATTGTAGTTTTTTAAAAAAATCCCCCACTGGCCTTCTTGGCCTTGAGAAATGGTGCTTTGTCCCACTGGGTTGTTTGTGATAATTGACGAACACGGTAGAGATGGAGGGAAGTGCTTTGCAAGTGAAGATGGTGAAACCTATGCATTGTTTCTTGGTCTGAAGCCCTAGTAAACGCACTCCAGAATGTAAGTTCTGAATAAAGATGCACAAGAGCAAGCTGCCAAATTATTTTGGAAATCACACAATCCAACCCACCCTGGTGCTCTCCAGTTGGTTTAGGCTGCAACACCTACCCTACAACGTTTTTTTTTTTGAAGCCTGCTGTCAGAAACAGGACACTGGGGTTTCCAAGCTGCCAGATTTGTACTAACCTGCCCAGATTGTTGTCATTTACGTCAGGCTGTAGAGGCAGGCATTGAAGTCACATATTTGATGTTTTTACCTTTGGAGTTGTTGCTGTAATTAATATTTGTTGTTGTTTTAAATAGACTTCAGAGAGAGTCACTCTTGCTTCTACAGTGGTACCTCGGGTTAAGTACTTAATTCGTTCCGGAGGTCTGTTCTTAACCTGAAAATGTTCTTAACCTGAAGCACCACTTTAGCTAATGGGGCCTCCTGCTGCCGCCGCGCCGCCAGAGCACAATTTCTGTTCTCATCCTGAAGCAAAGTTCTTAACCTGAAGCACTATTTCTGGGTTAGCAGAGTCTGTAACCTGAAGCATATGTAACCTGAGGTACCACTGTATCTGAAAAAAAATAAATCTTTGCAAGTATGAAGTACAGCTAAAGGATCTTCTTTTCATCTTAGGAAAAAGGCACTCTCTGTGCTCCTAAACACTCTACGCTTCATTTCTTAAAACAAAGCCTTTTCCCTTCAGAAAGGGACTGCCTGTGGCCATATTGGTTTTGCTACGAGGCCTCTTTGTAAAGGTTTGCTAAAGACACAAGATCCATCTTGCATCATCGTTAGCTGTGGCATGTAGCTTGGCACTTTGTGACTTGTGTTGGGGGTTGTGTGGCTCTTCTAAGGCTTGGAATGCCTGTTGTGTTAATTTATCCAGAGTAAGCGTGTTTTGATTATTGGCCTTCTTGGAAAAACAAACCAACCCAATTCTTATATTGATACGTTATTTCATTTACATCATAGAATTGTAGAGTTGGAAGGGACCCCGGGGGTCCTCTAGACCAGTGTTTCCCAACCTTGGGCCTCCAGCTGTTTTTGGACTACAACTCCCATCATCCCTAGCTAGCAAGACCAGTGGTCAGGGATGATGGGAATTGTAGTTCAAAAACAGCTGTAGGCCCAAAATATTATTATAAAAAAAACAACAGCTGGAGGCCCAAGGTTGGGAAACACTGCTCTAGACTCACCCCCTGCAGTTCAGGAATCCTGCCCAAAGCCGTCTCTGGGTGGGCTTGAACTACCAGCCTTCTAGTTAACAGCCATGAATGTATGCAAGGTTTCCTGAACTGTCCAAAGATGGGATATGCACATTGAAGCTATTTTTCTTCAGAGTAGTATTCAGCCAAGTGAATGGATCAGGGCTGGGGTATCTCTGGCCTGAGGGGAAGGGCACAAGTGGCACTCTGGGTCTCTGGATCTGACCCGAGACCCTCCAAGGCTGCACCCCCTCACCAGATCCACTTGGCACCTTCCTTGGGCATATGGGTCTGGCTGAAATTTGCCCTTGAACTTTGATGACGCCTCTGGCTCACATGGATGGAGGAGGGTTAAGCACATGGGAGCGAACTAACATTGGCTGCTCCTCCCATTTTTGCCTCTGGTACGCCCCACCACCGGTATACCTGAAGGAGCGTCTCCACCCCCGTCATTCTACCCAGACACTGAGGTCCAGTGCCGAGGGCCTTCTGGGGGTTCACTCGCTGTGAGAAGCCAAGTTACAGGGAACCAGGCAGAGGGCCTTCTTGGTGGTGGCGCCCGCCCTGTGGAACGCCCTCCCACCAGATGTCAAAGAGAAAAACAACTACCAGACTTGTAGAAGACATCTGAAGGCAGACTTGTTTAGGGAAGCTTTTATTTTTTTTTATAAGATATTTTTTAAAGTTTTCAATATTAATACAAATAAAAATAATTAAAAACACACAAAATTTCCATTACTTATTTTCCATTAACTTATTTGCCAGACCTCCTCGTACCTCCCTTTTTTGTATTCCAATTCAAATTGTAAATTCAGCAAATCCTTATCGATAAATTTTAACCTTTCTAAACCTTTTTTTCCATATTCTCTTAAAACATTACAGCCAGGGAAGCCATTACAGTTTAGGGAAGCTTTTAATGTTTAATAGGTTATTATATTTTAATATTCTGTTGGAAGCCGCCCAGTGTGGCTGGGAAAACCCAGCCAGATGGGCGGGGTATAAATAATAAATTATTTTCATTATTATAATTATGTGACCTCCACCTCCAAAGATTACTTAGAAGGGAATGTAGTGTTTGGGCTGTCTCTTCCAACCCAGGCAGTATAGAAGTTTTGCAGCTTCGAATTCACAGCTCCCTGGGCTCTGTCACTAAGTCTGCATAAATGCAATGAGCAAAGTCACGGCCACTTTTGAAAGCACAACAGAATACTAAAACTGTAACATTTCTTAAGCCTGTTGCTTTCTCCATTTTCCATGTCCAGGCGCCTGAGGATTGGAATCTTGAGCTCCCTGAGGATTGGCGTTCTACTTTAAAGAAAGGAAGGAAAGAAGACGTTCCGGGCTCGTTCTTTCCTGTCCATCATCACCATGTTTGGCTCGTCCCGAGGGGGGGTGAGAGGAGGGCAGGACCAGTTTAACTGGGAAGATGTAAAGACGGACAAACAAAGGGAAAACTACCTAGGTAGGGAGATGACCCTCTGCTGTCTTTTGACTACTGAAGGCTGAGCTAACTCCAACCGTCAGCTATGTGCTGAAATGACTATGAGTCTGTTTTGAGAAGTCCTGAGTTTGTATCTTGCCCTCCGTGGCCTTTAGCAGGGCATTCTGTCTCTCCCCTATTTCCTCCTCTGCAATGCAGAGGGGATGAAATTCAGTTCCACAATCTGAAGGGTTTTGGTGTGGCAGAGGTGCTGGGGGCTAAGTGGAGAAGACACTCGTTGCAAAATGTGAACAGAGGCAGCCTGGGCTGCCAGCATGGTGTAGTGGTTAAGAGCGGTGGACTCGTAATCTGGGGAACCGGGTTCGCTTCTCCGCTCCTCCACATGCAGCTGCTGGGTGACCTTGGGCCAGTCACACTTCTCTGAAGTCTCTCAGCCCCACTCACCTCACAGAGTGTTTGTTGTGGGGGAGGAAGGGAAAGGAGAATGTTAGCTGCTTTGAGACTCCTTTGGGTTAGTGATAAAGCAGGATATCAAATCCAAACACCTCCATTTTGTTAGAGGTTTCTCATGGCTCACACACTCTCTAGTCCTACTCCGAGTTTTGTTTCCATTCGTCTTTCTCCTTTTAATCTGCAGGGAACTCCTTGATGGCACCTGTAGGCCGGTGGCAGAAGGGGAAGGATCTCACGTGGTACGCCAAGGGGAAGAAAGGTGACGCACCTCTCTCCCGGGAGGATGAGCTGGCTGCAGTCCGGCGGGCAGAAGAGGAGGCCATGATGGCAGCCTTGTAAGTCTTAGACACCGTTGCCTGGCTATGTTTGCTGCCCACAAATGTAACAGCAGCTGGGTGTGACATGAACATCCCCTTACCCAGTTGAGAAGAGCTGTCCTTGCTTCTATCCCCATGATCATCAAAGCCGAGAGAATATTTTCCCATTTTATAAGGTAAAGGTACCCCTGCCCGTACGGGCCAGTCTTGACAGACTCTGGGGTTGTGCGCCCATCTCACTCTATAGGCCGGGGGCCAGCGCTGTCCACAGACACTTCCGGGTCACGTGGCCAGCGTGACATCGCTGCCCTGGCGAGCCAGAGCCGCACACGGAAACGCTGTTTACCTTCCCGCTAGTAAGTGGTCCCTATTTATCTACTTGCACCCGGGAGTGCTTTCGAACTGCTAGGTTGGCAGGCGCTGGGACCGAACAACGGGAGCGCACCCCGCCGCGGGGATTCGAACCGCCCACCTTTCGATCGGCAAGCCCTAAGCGCTGAGGCTTTTACCCACAGCGCCACCCGCGTCCCTCTTCCCATTTTATACCGATGTATATATTTATCCAAATAATTTTTGTTGGTTTTCTAGTCCACCTCTGCCAGATTTTGTAACTCTCATCTGTTTTTCTTTTAAGGGGTTATAAGAACGTGAAGAAGCAGCCGACAGGACTAAGCAAAGAGGTATTTATATATATATATATTTAAAAAATTGTTTGTGTGGAAAAGATGTGTGTGTGTGTGTGTGTGTGTGTGTGTGTGTTTATGTGCATGTAAACACGCTTGATCCCAAAGCTCAGACTTTGACCTGAACCCCACAAAAAAGGGACTTTCCTCCCTAAAAAAAGCTTAACAGCTTTGACCTAGGTCACTGCCAGTTTTTTATTCTGTGAGAGGATCGCAGTCTCTTGGGAGTTGGACGTCCCTGCTCTATAGGAAAGCGATAGGGAACCTTGAGCACAAAGACTGAATGCAGCCCTCCCAGTCTCTCTGCCTGGCGCTTGAAACTCTCCCACCAGAGGCATTTCTGTTAAGTATTGTTGGCAGGGACATCCCGAATGCCTTGAAGGAGGTTTTTTTATTTGCTACGGCTGCAGCCCGGACTTTGGTGGCAAAGGGGTGGAAGGAAGGAGGAGTCCCGACAATTACGGATAGGCATAGCAAGCTACAAGAATTTGGTGAAGTGGCACAGCTGACAAATAGCCTGAGAGGCAACTCAAAACAAAAATTTATGGGAAAGTGGGATAGATATAAGATATATCTTATATCTTGAACATATATTTTGAACATATATGTTCAAAAATGCAGTAAAGGTTCACTATCTGTGCAAGCATTTGATTGACGCCGGAGAGAGACTGAGTTGAGAAACAAAACCAAGGGTACATATTGATATAGGAATGTATTAGATAAAATGTAAAGAAATATACAATAATAAGAGTACGTTCATTTGTAAAAAAAAAAAAGGAATATACAACGGGATAGACAGGAAGTCCAAAGTGTTGGTATATATATGATTTCGGAGTAAGTTTGGAATAGCTTTTTATTTTTGGTTTTTTGGTTTGGTTTTCCTTGATGTATATAAAGTATACATACAGGTTGAAAATTACAGTGTAATAAGTTTTGTGATGTAATATGACAATGTCTGACGATGTAACGTAAGAACTTAAATAAATAAATAATGAAAAGAAACTCTCCCACCCTCCCAGTTGTTTTTGCCCCAGTGTCATTGAAGTCCATTAATTCCTCTGGATTGTTTGGATAGAGCTGGCATGTGTCTATATAAATCCCCTGCTGCACATCCATTGCTCTGTCCACTATTGCCTCTGGCATGCGGCCCCTGGAAGGTTACCGATCAGGGAAGGTGGCCCTCGGTCACCACTCTATTCTATATGAGGTTATCTCTGTGCTAGCATTACAGAAGTCCCAGCTAGCAAGCCATGCCCGGGTCCTGCAATCGGCTCCCCTCCCAAGCTGTGGCAAAATATGCCTGGGTTCCCACCTTCCATCTACCGCTGAGGATGCGGCAAAAGGGTCTGAAACAGGCATGGCCAAATTTGGCTCTCCAGCTGTTTTGGGACTACAGTTCCCATCATCCCTGACCGCTGGTCCCAAAAACAGCTGGAGGGCCAAGTTTGGCCACGCCTGGTCTAAAAGGAGGAAGGATGACTTCAACTCGGACCTGTAGCAACTCCATGACAGTGCACAAATTTGTGCTCTTGCTTCATTCGTGTTTTATTTTTATTATTCATTAGATTTGTTTTCCACCCTTTACCCGGAGATCCCAGGGCGTTTCACGAGGTGTCCTCTAATACCTTGTCTGCAAATATCTTTGCAGGATCTTGCCGAGGTCTGCAAACGTGATGGAGCAGAGCGTGATGAGAAGGCGGTGGATCGTGTGTTGGGCCTGGGGAGTTCGAGGTAGTTGCTGCTGCTGCAATGGACTCAAGTGGCCCTCCCAAAGGACCAATTATTTGTCTGACTTGTGTTTGGAAGCATACTCAATAAACACACAAGACGTAACCAGCTGTGTTCTTAGATAAATAAGATATACTATTCATAGTATCAAATTATAAATTTCAACGGAAGTAACTCATAAGGTTCAACAAATGAACATAGCAGAAGACCCAGTGGATCAGATCATTCTTTAGTCAGTTCATGCATAAGGTCCATTCGTGTAATGGTTTACGTTCCATCTGTCTGTTCGTAAAGTCCAAAAAATCCACATGAAAAGTTGTTACAGTTCCACAAAACCCTTACACAGAGTCTAGACAAGGGTTTCCGGAATATTGGCCTTGATTTTGCCATCCTGGGCTTCATCAGTACTTAAAGCTTATATGTGATATTACAGACAGTTGATCTTATGGCATAGTAGTAGCTGCTACTATTATGCCATAAGATCCACTGTCCTGTAATCCTTGTCTAGACTCTGTGTAAGGATTTTGTGAAACTATAACAATCTTTCATGAGGGATGCGGGTGGCGCTGTGGGCGTTAAACCACAGAGCCTAGGACTTGCCGATCAGAAGGTCGGCCGGTTCGAATCCCCGCGACGGGGTGAGCTCGGTCCTGTTGCTCGGTCCCTGCTTCCTGCCAACCTAGCAGTTCGAAAGCACGTCAAAGTGCAAGTAGATAAATAGGTACCACTCCAGTGGGAAGGTAAACGGCGTTTCGTGCCGCTGCTCTGGCTTCGCCAGAAGCGGCTTAGTCATGCCGGCCACATGACCCGGAAGCTGTACACCGGCTCCCTCGGCCAATAAAGCGAGATGAGCGCTTGCAACCCCAGAGTCGGTCACGACTGGACCTTAATGGTCAGGGGTCCCTTTACCTAACAACCTTTCATGTAGATTTTTTGGAACTTTACAAACAGACAGATGGAATAGCCACCATTACACAGATGGACTTATACATGAACTGACTAAAGAATGATCTGATCCACTGGGTCTTCTGCTTTGTTCGTTTGTTGAACTTTATGAGTTACTTCTGTTGAAATTTATAATCTGATACTATGAATAGTATACCTTATTTATCTAAGAACACCAGCCAGTTTACGTCTCATTGGTTTATTGTGTTTTGGAAGCGGCATGGCTATTCCTGCAGACATTTACACCGTGTGCATGTCTTGTTCTGTGTACATCTCCATTAGTCTTTAAACCAGAGCTTACCAACTGTGTGTTGCGACACGTTAGTGTGTCGGCTGCAGTGTGTAGGTTTGTTATGCAAACGCTCCCTGTGCTTTTCCCGGGCTGGAAAGGGGCTAGTTTAACCCTCCGCGTTTGATAGTAACAACTGAATCACTGTGTGATGCATTCCTAAAAGCGGTGAAAAATTTGGAAAGCTCCATTTTAAACCCTTGAGGTCCCTTCCAACTCTGCAATTCTATGATTCTGTTTACAGGTGGTACCTTGGTTCTCAAACTTAATCCGTTCTGGAAGTCCGTTCCAAAACCAAAGTGTTTCCAAACCAAGGCGCGCTTTCCCATAGAAAGTAATGCAAAATGGATTAATCCCTTCCAGACTTTTAAAAACAACCCTAAACCAGCAATTTGACATGAATTTTACTATCTAACGAGACCATTGATCCTTAAAATGAAAAGCAATGATCAATGGACTGTACTAGAAAATAAATAATAGAGTATTTGTAGATGATAAAAAAAATAAATTATGTATTTTTTCTTACCCGCACTGATGATACGTCATTGTTTGGATGGGGGGCTTTTATCCATTTCCTCAGTCACACAATCAATCAGTCGGTAAGCTGAACTGGGTTCCACACAGTCACAAAACAAATGAACCGAAAAAGCCTCAACAAACAAAAAAGCAAAATAAATAGCAAAAACAAAAGTGTCAAACTTAATCTGTTCCGGATATCTTTTGACTTCTGAAATGTTCAAAACCAAGGCTGATTGGTGCAGGCGCCCAGAAACAATAGCCAACAGCTCATCAGATGTTTGGCTTCTGAAAAAATGTTCGAAAACTGGAACACTTAACTTCCGGTTTTTCAGCATTTGGGAACCAAGGTACCACTGTATTTATTTTTATTTATTAGAGCTTATTACCCTGCAGCTCCTCCAATGGAGCCCAGGGCAGTTACATGTAGAAGTCACAAGAGGTTTACCCCCTTTTTAGCTACTGTTGATTTCAATCATCTTTTGAATGCATTTACGTAATCAGTTTTAACTTACATGACTAATATATCATAGAGAGACGAGATTTTACTGTTTTAACGAAATATTTTTTGTAAACCCACTTGGAGGTTTTCTTAACATTAGAGCGATATATAAATTTGTTAACTAAATGAAAATTATATTGCTTCATAGGAACCGATTAAGGAAACGAGAAACCAACGATAATATCCCACTCTTAACTTTTCCTCCAGGTGTGACGCAAGCAGGAATGATGTTTTCCAAAGAAGACAAGAAGCTGCCAAAATGGGCCTTTTCAGTCTTCACGGTAAGTTATTGGACCATTCCTCTCCGCTCTGGAAAGTGAGGCACACCTTAAAGGTGTCGGATGCCACTGGCAAGCACACCATTCTACATTTGTCTGTGTATTCCTAAAATATACCAGTTTCCCTTTCCATTGACAAAATGCCCACTGTGGTGTACAGAAGATTAAGAAATCATGCAGCTTGAAACACATGTATAAGGTAAAGGTAAAGGGACCCCTGACCATTAGGTCCAGTCATGGACGACTCTGGGGTTGCGGCGCTCATCTTGCTTTATTGGCCGAGGGAGCCGGAGTACAGCTTCCGGGTCATGTGGCCAGCATGACTAAGCCGCTTCTAGCGAACCAGAGCAGCGCACAGAAACGCCATTTACCTTCCCGCCTGAGTGGTACCTATTGATCTACTTGCACTTGACGTGCTTTCGAACTGCTAGGTTGGCAGGAGCCTGGGACCGAGCAATGGGACATCACCCGTCGTGGGGATTCGAACTGCCGACCTTCTGATTGGCAAGTCCTAGGCTCTGTGGGTTTAACCCACAGCACCACCGCGCGTCCCATAACACAATGTATAGGAATCACAAATACTGTTGTATCTGCTGGGAGATCACATTTTTTGTTTCCCTTTGTCGTCATTTGTAGATCTCAACTACTTTTCAGGGCGTATTACGCCCCCGAGGAAGTCAACAAATTCCAAAGCTAAACATAACATATGCAAACTGCAGTATGTTCACAATAATGGTCATTTGCTGTGATACCCAAATAGATAGAAGTTCGGCAAACCATAGTTTCCTTCTGCACCCGAACTGGAAACCATGGGACTGCATCACTTCAGGCAGGTTGGGTGTCAGTTTGAATGTTTGAATTCTCCCTTTTAACTTAGGAAAAAGAAGCTGAGTGTGTTGGGCAGCATGCTAAACTGACCTCATTCTCGCAGCACGCCACTTTTCTCGGTGTAGAGATTAATACTCCTGTGGGAGTGTTGAAATACGCATCTCTTCCCCCTCCAGCTGAAATGATATAGTCCAGCAAAAGCTTGCTGCTTGAGTTTGCAGATTGCATAAACTGAGCAGAAGGGCTCTTCCCATCAGTAAAGCTGCTCTCTCCTCCAATAAAGAGTCTATCCAGGTCTGGCCAAGATTCCTTCATTCTTGTGTCTTGTTTTCTCTCTGAAACCCCAGCACCATCGAATAGCAAGCAGCCAGAGGCTTCGGCTACCAAAAAGAAACCGGATAAAGAAGAGGAAACGGGAGCCGCAGAGTAAGAAACCTCCCAGGCGTCCTCTTGTCTCTCGGCTTGGGAGATCATAGAATTGTAGCAGCTGGAAGAAACCCCAGGGCCTTCTCGGTGGCTGAAGCCTGCGCTGTGGAACTCCCTCCCACCAGATGTCAAAGAGAAAAACAACTTACCAGACTTTTAGAAGACATCTGAGGCAGCCCTGTTTAGGGAAGCTTTTAATGTTTAATAGGTTATTGTATTTTAGTGTTCTGTTGGAAGCTGCCCAGAGTGGCTGGGGAAACCCAGCCAGATGGGCGGGGTATAAATAAATTACTATTATTATTATTATTATTATTATTATTATTATTATTATTATTATATTATCTAGTCCAACCCCCTGCAAAGCTGGAAGGGCAGCTGTTTTTCTGAATTCAAGGAGGAGGCCCTCAAACTGGGCAGGATTCTGAGGAGAATGAAAGATGGGGTTATATCCAATGTAAAAAGAGGAGGCTGAACTAGCATATTAACTTTCCATGGGTAGCTCAGTTGGTAAAGCATGAGACTCGTAATCTCATGAGTCACGAGTTCAAGTCCCACATTGGGCAAACATTCCTGCATTGCAGGGGGTTGGACTACAGTCATACCTCGGGTTGAAGTTGCTTCAGGTTGAGTGTTTTCTGGTTGCCACTGCCGCTGTGACCTGGAAGTAACCCAATGTGTTACTTCCGGGTTTCGCCGCTCGCGCATGCGCAGACGCTCAAAATGACGTCACGCACATGCGCAGAAGCAGTGAATCGCGACACCGTGCAGATGCGGGTTGAGTTCGCTTCAGGATGCGAACGGGGCTCCGGAACGGATTCTGTTCGTATCCAGAGGTACCACTGTAGATGGCTCTTGAGGTCCCTTCCAGCTCTGCATTCTATGATTCATGCGCAAGGAGCTTTTGGCATTTAAATGGGTATCAAATGGGTGGTATAGTCCTATCGGAGTTGTACCATGAACTCACCTGCCGCCGATTTAGGATTGGAGCGTGTTCCAGTTCTGGAAGCTGCTCAAATTCTGTATCTTGAGCTGGTTTGGGGGGTGGGGAGAGAGAGATATATATTCTGTCTATTACTCTCTGCCATGCAGGCCAGAGCCCAGCAAGAAACCCAAAAAGAAGAAAGAGAAGAAGAAGAAGAAGCACAAGAAAGAAAAGAAAAAAGAAAAGGAGAAGCATCGTAGAAAAAGAGAGATTCTTCCTCTTCCGCCTCCTCTTCTCCAGACGACAGAGAGAGGTAACTCAGTGGGTCTCATTGGCAACAGTCGTGAATCTTCCATAAACAGCTGGGTTAGGAGAAGTTGGCAAGACATAGGAAGTTGCCCTTTTCTGAATCAGGCGCCTGGTCCGCCTCGCTCAGCCTTGTCTACACTGAGTGGCAGGATTTCAGGCAGGGTATCTTTGCCCAAGGGACGCGGGTGGCGCTGTGGGTTAAACCACAGTGCCTAGGACTTGCCGATCAGAAGGTCGGCGGTTCGAATCCCCGCGACGGGGGTGAGCTCCCGTTGCTCGGTCCCTGCTCCTGCCAACCTAGCAGTTCGAAAGCACATCAAGGTGCAAGTAGATAAATAGGTACCGGTCTGGTGGGAAGGTAAACGGCGTTTCCGTGCGCTGCTCTGGGTTTGCCAGAGGTGGCTAAAGCAAGATGAGCGCCGCAACCCCAGAGTCGGCCACGACTGACCTAATGCTCAGGGGTCCCTTTACCTTTACTTTATCTTTGCCCAGCCCTACCTGGAGCTGCCATGGCTTGAGCAGGCGCTCTACCCACTGAGCTGCACTCTTCCCCTTTACTGATAAATCTTGTAGGAGGAATTGGGGCCACCCCAAATGGCTAGAAAGCCACAAGGAAAATCTGGGGAGCTAGCGAGCGATAACTCCTTTTTTTAGCCACTGTAATGTTGCGGTTTTATAAAAAAACGAAATAAAACAGTGACAGGCTCAAGGTCACCCAGTGAGCTTGTTGGCTGAGCAGGGATTCGAACCCTGACCTCCCAGTTCCTGGCCCAACACCTTAACCACTGCGTCACCCTGGCTCTTTCCTTGGAAGGTGTGTTGGTAAGCATTTTCCCCATTGCAGAATCGACATGGCCCATGGCATGAGATATTCTGTCTTAGTACAGGTTGTAAGAGCAGGAGAACATCTGGATAACTTCCTCTTCTGAGGGAAGGGCCATAGCTCAGGGGTTGGAGCATCTGCCTTGGCATGCAGAGGGTCACAGGTTCAATGCCTGGCCTCCCTAAGTAGGGCTGGGAATGTCCTCTTTCCTGAAAACCCTGGAGAGATGCTGCCAGTCAGTGTGGGCAGTATTAAGCTACTTGACTCAGTTTAATTAATTAAATAATAATAATAATAATAATAATAATAATAATGATAATAATGATAATGATAATAATTCATTATTTATACCCCGCCCATCTGGCTGAGTTTCCCCAGCTACTCTGGGCGGTTCCCAATCGAGTGTTAAAAACAATACAGCATTAAATATAAAAAAATTCCCTAAACAGGGCTGCCTTCAGATGTCTTTTAAAGAGAAGATAACTGCTTATTTCCTTGACATCTGATGGCAGGGCGTTCCACAGGGCGAGAAGGCCCTCTGCCTGGTTCCCTGTAACCTCACTTCTCGCAATGAGGGAACCGCCAGAAGGCCCTTGGAGCTGGACTTCAGCATCCGGGCTGAACAATGGGGGTGGAGACGTTCCTTCAGGTATACAGGACCGAGGCTGTTTAGGGCTTGAAAGGTCAGCACCAACACTTTGAATTGTGCTCGGAAACGTACTGGGAGCCAATGCAGATCTCTCAGGACCGGTGGTTATGTGGTCCCGGGCGGCCGCCCCCAGTCACCAGTCTAGCTGCCGCATTCTGGATTAGTTGTAGTTTTCTGGGTCACCTTCAAAGGTAGCCCCACGTAGAGTGCATTGCAGTAGTCCAAGCGGGAGATAACCAGAGCATGCACCACTCTCGGCGAGACAGTCTGCGTGCAGATAGGGTCTCAGCCTGCATACCAGATGGAGCTGATAACAGCTGCCCTGGACACAGAATTGACCTGCGCCTCCATGGACAAAATGACTCCCAGGCTGTGCAACTGGTCCTTCAGAGGCACATTTACCCCATTCAGGATCAGGGAGTCTGCCACACCTGCCCACCTCCTGTCCCCCAAAAACAGTATTTCTGTCTTGTCAGGATTCAACCTCAATCCGTTAGCTGCCATCCATCCTCCAACCGCCTCCAGACACTCACACAGGACCTTCACCGCCTTCACTGGTTCTGATTTGAAAGAGAGGTAGAGCTGGTATCATCCGCATATTGATGGACACCCAGTCCAAACCCCCTGATGATCTTTCCCAGCAGCTTCATAGAGATGTTGAAAAAGCATGGGGGAGAGGACGGAGCCCTGAGGCACCCCACAA